CTGTCCATTTGGCGTAAACTTTGAACGACGTTGCCGAGCGAGTTGGCTTCGTCTTGGACGGAAATGGCGTACAGTGGCGCTATTTGGAGTGCCGTGGCGGACGCATTCGTGGTCAACGCCAGCGTGCCTTGCTCGAGGGCCGTGAGATCGACGTTGCTGGCAAATTGGTGGAGTTGCAGATTCTGGTTGAACCAGTTGCTCAAGTGCACTTGCGTGTTTGTGTCGAATGACGCCCACCAGAAATCGTTGGACATGGCCGATTGCGTCAGCTGGAAGAACGCGTACGAACCTGAAATTGACGTGACCATGTACAGCAACCCGACAAAGCCAAGCCATGCATGCTTTCGCCCAAACATCGGCGGCAGCGTCGGGCCTGACACGTGGTGTTGGAACGTGGCGTCGCGGAACGACATGCGTCGGGTGTTGGTTTTGTTGTGGCGCATCACGGTCGCCCAAATTTTAAAGTCAAACAGGGTTTGTTTCCACGGCAACATGCCCGACATCACGCACGTCACTGCGTCCAAATGTCTGGACGACGCAAACCGTCCTGACGAGCGCACGAAAAATGCCTCGGTCGCAGCGGGGATGAGCACATTGTTTGGAGCTGTCGTTCGAGGGGGGTGTCGACTGGGGTAGCACCGCGCATACGTCACTGTGGCCACTAGTGCTACAACAAGCGACGCGAACTGGAGTCCGAGGAGGTGGGCCACACGCTCGCCACTGCCAAGTCGCACTTCTCCACCCGTGCAAGCCACGCCACGACGAAACGATGTGAACATGCAGTCTTGAGCCACATTGGCTTGCACTTGATACGGAGAGGCGACGTCCAGACTGGCCACCGCAGTGAAAGCGAGGAAGCTGCTGACTGGTGCGACGTCGGTTGCAATCTGCAGCTCGATGGTAAACGGCAACAATATATCGTTCAGGACATAGACGACCCAGAGGGATTCGCTGTATAGGAGCAGCTGCGATGTCCACTCGCGTTGATAGGGCGTAAACGACGTCACGCGGTGCGGTGTTGTGCTTATGGTGGCTGGAGCTGTACTCAGGATGATAATGGCTGTGATGCCCCGAACAAAGAGCAACGGACGACCGATCCACACGCTGCCAAACACGCGATTGAAGTGGAACAGGTTGCGGCCTTCGATCTGAAATTTATTCGCCGTGGCGTATACAACCAACAAAGTCGAGACTAATGCAGCCAAGACGCTGACCCACAACGCTGCCGTCCAAAAATACAGGCACGCAGTCTTGGGAAGCTCCAGCGCGTTCGCGGCCACTGGAATGTTGTCGCTGCGAGTGGACATCAGCGTGAGGGATCCAGCGTCGCCTTCGAACGTAAACACTTCCCGAGTGCCGTG